GCGGGATCACGGGAAGCGATCCCGCCGGTAATGGTTCCCGCCAGAGTGGCGGGAAAACTGAATGTGAATGACAGCCGGCGACAAAGCGCATAGGCAGTCCATAAAAATAAGGTGCGGGATCGCGGGAAGCGATCCCGCCGGTAATGGTTCCCGCCAAAGTGGCGGGAAAACTGAATCTGAATGACAGCCGGCGACAAAGCGCATAGGCAGTCTACTCAGATAGAATTTTTAAAAATAAGGTGCGGGATCGCGGGAAGCGATCCAGGCGGTATGGTTCCCGCCAGAGTGGCGGGAAAACTGAATCTGAATGACAGCCGGCGACAAAGCGCATAGGCAGTCTATTCAGATTGAATTAAAAATAAGGCGAGGGACGCGAAACCTAACTTAATTTTCAACTGTGGCACGCATAACTCCGTCAATAATGGACGGATTTTCTTCAAATTTGAAATATAAGTAGATAATATCAGTACGCTGCGGAGGCTATTTTTTCAAATTTTTTCATAAATAACTTTTTTAATATGGAAAACCTAACTTAATTTTCAACTGTGGCACGCATAACTCCGTCAATAATGGACAGATTTTCTTCAAATTTGAAATATAAGTAGATAATATCAGTACGCTGCGGAGGCTATTTTTTTCAAATTTTTTCACCAATACATTTTTTTTAATACGGAAAACCTAACTTAATTTTCAACTGTGGCACGCATAACTCCGTCAATAATGGACGGATTTTCTTCAAATTTGAAATATAAGTACCTAGATAATATCAGTACGCTGCGGAGAATGTTTTTCTAATTTTTACATCAATAACTTTTTTGTCAATACGGAAATTGATAGGTTGCAGCACCACGCAGTAAGAAATACTTCAATGCCCGAACTGATTGCCTTGAAATTTGGAATGTAAGTGATTGCTATAAATTCGCTAGCTAGGTAACGAATCGTCAAAATGGAAGGAAAATCCAATATATACAATTAAATCGATAATACCTGAACAATTACCCAATAATTTATAAGAGACGCATGGTGTTGACACATTCGGTATGTTACAATTGTAGCTAATGTGTTTCTGTCGGTTTCTGCTAGTTCCTTGCACACCTGAAAAACGATTGTCTGCGCAGACTAGCGCCTCTACGAGCCCTTTCGGGAGCAGCAGGGGTGCATAAAGACTCTTACTCCGGCAGGTATACATAAGTTTCATACGCAGCAAGCTTCAGTCTGGCTGTGTATTGTTCAGACTTCATGATATTGCATCAAAACACTCAAAGTAATTCAGTCCAGTGCACTAAGAATTGTACTTGGAGCTCGCAACACCTCTCCTATATCATCTTTGGAGATTGAAGCCCATCTACCTCCACTGGAGGTCAAATTTGATTACCTGTTCATGAAGTGCTATCTACAGTTCTGTGGGTGGTTGCGGTTGATTAATGACTAACTTTTAATATATAGATATGAATAAAATAGAGAGAATCATTATATAGAACGTGTAAATCAGGTCGAGAGTTTCATGAGGCACTATAAAAATGTATTTTTAGTAACAATAATCATCAGCGGTCTACCAAATGTTCCACTTCAACTGCTGTTATTAGAAAACAAGTAAAGATAGCCTCAGAGCACAACATGGATACGTAGTGAATATCAATGATTGCTTTCTTAATATTGGATTATTATGAGCATGGGAAATGCAGGCATTAACTTCGAATATTGTTACAAATATAATGGGCAAAAACGGATGAATTTCTTTGTGAAAGAAATTACAATGCACTATGTTTAAGAATGTTAATAATAGTTCAAGGACGAATAAATTCTTTCACATGCAGATGATAAGAAAGATCTGATGAATAAATCATTTATTGAGAGAAGCAAGTATTTACACAGCGTTAAAGTTCAAGGGTGCACTGTTGATGATACAAGAATGATACTGTTGACAATATAATTCAGAATATTGTACATCAATCGAACTGGCATGTTTCTCTAATTTAGCAAATGTCTCGTCTATCGACAAGATTGGAAAAGCATGAGTAATAAATATGGCTAAGCAGAAGTCACAAGCATTGATGTAATGTATTAAAATGAATGAAGCTCAATCTTGATCCTTTGGAAGTCTATATTAAAAAATACTTTAAAATGAAAAACATCTATATTAATATGTTCAGTGAATTTAAATAATAACTTGATATTGTAATAAAGTTTATATTTATCAAAATAAATGAAGAAATAATTAAATATATCATTTCCATAAGAATGGACTTCACTTCATACATTCAAATAAATTATTGAAATATCAGAAGTTAATAGGTGTTCAAGCCGGGTCTGCGCAGAGTTCCGTTAAAAGTCAATAAATTTGTCTCGTTGGGAGTTTGTGTGGTAGGACATATGAAGGACATATGACATATGAAGGATTGAACAGATGGACGACTGTATTCCAAGTAGTCATGCGTTTTCTATGGATTGATAGAAGATGCTCCTCCAGCTGTGTTCAGATGATGTATATGCATTGGCTGCACCAAAGTAGGATGGATGCCATGTTTAAAGAGCGTTTGTGGATTTTATTGTGACCATGAAGGGGCTGATTGTCACATGTGGCCTTCAGGAGGGCGGACTAAGAAACTTTTGTAAAAATTCCTCCAAAGAAAAAATTTTTTGCTTGACCAAACTTAAATCTTGTGGTGATACCAACGAAATAAGAGGTCGATAAGTGAATACTCCAAGGTACACTACAAAGCGAGCCATTTTGTCATTTTTCGTGCAGCTGTGCTTGATGGATGAGCGCAAGAAAAGAGGCTCACAGAGCCAACAAAGAGGAGGGGCGGCCCCGTTACACACTGCCCAACACGAGGTACTGGAATATTAACGCCAACACAAACCAATGCATTGCCTGTACGTTCCATAGTCCTCTACGTAGCAAGCTGCTGTCAGCATGTTTCCTGCAAATAAAAAGATATTACAAATACTTACTGAGAAAATACTTACTGAAATCTCTTACAATAAAATTTGAGGGCTCAGTAGGTACCTAATCAAGAGTAAATAAATGTAATTACTTTAAATCGTGACAGACTTGTAACTTGTAAGAATTAATTGTTAAAAGAAAAGAATTTCAATACTATTTATCTGTTCGTTCGAGACTTGAAAAACTTATACAAATAATTGCAGCCCGCAAATATAAGAAAATAAGTCAGCTAAGAAGCAGGTCACTCTCATGGAAATTATAAAATATTAGAAATACCCTGCACTGATAACACACATCCGTTGAGCAAAGAAAAATTTAATGGAGCTTCGAAATATCAGACAGCAAGTTTTCCTTTTCGTGCTGATGTTACCCGACGATACGCCAATAAATTGTGTAATCATAAGACTGATTAATAACTTGATTTATCACAATAACAATTACCATAGTGTTAAATCATTGGAACCTCACAAGCGTAAAATTTTTGTAAAGGGGCAACTTTACAAGATTTTAAATGATCCCGCATCTTAAACATTTCACAAAGGAGACAAACTTGCTAAGATTTCAGTGATGAAAAATTCTACTAAAATAATTTCATGATGTTTAACCAAATATTATGATGTGAAAAAGTTTTGCCAATGCTTAGACAAGATTGATTTGTCCTACTTGTTACTAATTATACTTGTAATGTAAAAAATGAAGCTCTATTGCTGGAAATATGTAAATTAATTTCTCACTTCAATGTTACTCCCCATGGCTATAAAAATTAATTTGGGAAATGGAACAATATTTAGTTGTGATGCGGGCTAAAGTGATGCTTTAAGTTGGCGAAAATGAAATAAACATGATTGCACTTTTAATTATAATCGTAATACATCACTAGGCATAAGTAGTACCTAAAAATATTTAGTACTTGCCTAATATTGCATAATATTATTTATTAAAGCCTAATAATTGTAATTTTTGCAAATATTAATAAAGAAGTATCCTAATTTTATTGTTCATATCATTGCATGTACATTTTAAAAACATTAGCTAGCCATGAATAGTTAAGATTAAAAACTTGGATATGACAAAAGATATACCTACAGATCAATGTTAAGTTTGTTGATCACAAAGTAGGGAAATAATTTTAAAAGCAAAATCCTAAACGTTTTGGCAGGAAGTCACAGGTAGATCAATATCAATAAAGTCACAGGTAGACCAATCTCAATATCATTAAAGTAGATATTGAGATTGGGGGTCTTGCTTTCAAAATTTAATGAGAAACAGTGCTTACGGTATCTGAAAATGTTCTCACTAATGAGTGGAATGAACAGTGGTGATAATGCTTACCGGTATGTCACTACAAGATTTGAAATCACAGTAAAAAGTAAACTTACAGAGATAAACCGGAAGGCAGGCTGAATTATGAATGGTTCTTGAAGATGAGCCACAAGTCGGTTGGTGGTAGACATGGCCAACAAAACTTGGCCTTGAAGGTGGATAGGCTTCAGAATGATTACCTTAAAGGTTGCAGTTACTGAAATTCAATGGCAAATTAATAATTAAATAAATTTTTCATGAAGCATAATTATGGGTGTATTTTTAATGTAATTTTTAACAAATAGAGTTGAATTCAATGATTTTGATGAAATATAACAAATTAAGTATCAAAATAAAAGAGAATAGATAAAGACCATCACTTTTTTTTAGTGTGTATTAGGTTCCAATAAATTGAATGTTTTTGGTACAGAGGCATCACCTGTGCAATAGGTACATTGTATGCAGCTAGCAGTTTAGCTAATTTTTATAAGTCTATAAGTAGTCTTTAACTATTTGACTATTTGTTATATAGTTATTGATTACAATATACAATTTAAATGTGTTAGCTAGCTTATACAGAGTGGGGCAAAACTGATTGAGCAGTTTTGAGGCAAAATAAGAGTAATGGAGGTACATAAAGAAGAAAGTTTATTTTCCTCAATATTAGCATAACATACCATTTAAATACTTATGTTTTGAAAACAATATCAGGAAGATGGGGTTTGTTAGCTGCATCACACTGTTGGAGTCGTTCTTGGAAGTTTTCTTACAGCACGTTCACACATATAGCAAGGTATGGCCATAACCTCTGCTGCAATAATCCGTTCCCTCAGCTGTGGTAGGGTGTGAGGGCGACTTCTGAACCCCTTTCTTTTAGATGTCCACAAAGAAAGAAATCCCAAATGCTCAAATCGGGTAACCTCGCAGGCCACTGTAAATCACCCCTCAGAGACACCAGTCGTCCGGGAAAGATGTTTCAAAACATTGAGTGACATTCAGGCTGTGTGAGCTGTAGCCCCATCCTACTGGAACCACACGTCTCCCAATGCTTCATTTTCAATACTACTGTTTTCCATCATAGGCTGCAAGAAATTTTGCAACATTGCAGCATAGCGATCGAAATTCACTGTTACGGTTACTAACTCCTCTGAGAACGACTCAACAGTGTGTTGCTGCTAACGGCCCCATCTTCCAGATATTGTTTTCAAAACATAAGAATTCTAAATGTTATGTTATGCTAAAAGCTAACCTCTAGGAAAATAAACTTTTTTCTTTATGTACCTCCATTACTCTTTTATTTTACCTCAAAACTGCACAATCGGTTCTCCCCCACCCTGTATATTGAGAGGTTGAGATTGTATTGACCTTTTAGGCAATTAGAAAGATTTTCCACCCTAATACGAGTATTCTAATTAAAATATTTAATTTCAATCTTTAAATATGTGAATTTAAAACTAGAAACAAAACAATTACAATTATAAGACTATATATAAAATAATTAAATACAGTGAATGGATATAAAATATTTGAATTGTGCACATGTTTATTTCAAACAGTGTTAGCTTTTCTCATAACTATATATAAAATAATTAAATACAGTGAATGGATATAAAATATTTGAATTGTGCACATGTTTATTTCAAACAGTGTTAGCTTTTCTCTTAACTTAAGTTTCGTTTCAAGTCGTACCGGTATGAGGATTGTTTGGTTATCATTCAGTTTATGTTTGGTCTGAATTGAATGGGAACAGAGCAGTCAGTCACTCCGTCACTACTAGTTGGTGTGTATAGAGGGTAGAGTCTGGTAGATTTATAGCACATAAAACTAGTAGATCTATTGATAGTGCTGTGCACTGTGCTATCAGCTACCTATCTGTTGTGTGACACTTCAATGTTTAGAAGATCTTCATTCCTGAAGTGTTTTTGTATATTGAAGCAAGTTAAATGGTCAATATTTAGCTCATTACCTTGCTCCATACAAACTTAATAAAGCTAATGAGTAGACTTATCAACCAGGGTTGGCGATTTTTTTATTTAAAAAAAATAAAAAAAATAAAAAATCAATGATTTTTTTTTATTTTTTCATGATTTTTTTGATTTAATTTGATTTTTTTTTATTTTTCAGCTTTTTTGTCTTTTTTTGTGGTGTTATTTTTTATGTTGCAATTAGCCTACTAACAATAACAGTATATGGATCATAATGGATGGCTAAAAAGGGCACTTATTGCCTCCAATAATGGCCAACAGGCTAAGGTGGTGTTTACCACTTAGGGATTTTCTGGTAAACAATTATTGATAAGTCTATTCATTAGCCTTGTAAAGTTTGTATGGAGCAAGGTAATGAGCTAAATATTGACCATTTAACTGGCTTCAATATACAACAACACTTCAGGAATGCAGATCTCCTAAACATTGAAGAGTCACATAACAGATAGGTAGCTGATTGCACAGTGCACAGCACTATCAATAGATCTACCAGTTTTATGTCCTATAAATCTACCAGACTCTACCTTCTATACACACCGACTAGTAGTGACTGAGTGACTGACTGCACTGTTCCCATTTAATTCAGACCAATAAACCAATACTAAACATAAACTGAACGATAACCAAACAAACCTCATACGACTTGAAACGAGTTATGAGAAAAGCTAACAGTGTTTGAAATAAACATGTGCACAATTAAAATATTTTATAACCATTCACTGCATTTAATTATTTTATATATAGTCTTATAATTGTAATTGTTTTGTTTCTAGTGTTAAATTCACATATTTAAAGATTGAAATTAAATATTTTAATTAGAATACTCGTATTAGGGTGGAAAGTCTTTCTAATTGCCTAAAAGGTCAATACAATCTCAACCTCTCAATATACAGGGTGGAGCAGAACTGATTGAGCAGTTTTGAGGTAAAATAAATGAGTAATGGAGGTACATAAAGAAAAAAGTTTATTTTCCTAGAGGTTAGCATAACAAACCATTTAGAATACTTATGTTTTGAAAACAATATCTGGAAGATGGGGGCTGTTAGCTGCAACACACTGTTGGAGTCGTTCTCAGAGGAGGGAGTAACCATGACAGTGAATTCCGATTGCTATGCTGCAATGTTGCAAAATTTCTTGCAGCCTATGATGGAAAACATTGTTGAAAATGAGGCATTGAGAGACGTGTGGTTCCAGCAGGATAGGGCTACAGCTCACACAGCTTGAATGTCACACAATGTTTTGAAATGCATGTTTCCCGTAGGTCTGGTGTCTCTGAGGGGTGATTTACCTGATTTGAGCATTTGCGATTTCTTTCTTTGGGGACATCTAAAAGAAAGGGGTTCAGAAGTTGCCCTCACATCCTACCACAGCTAAGGGAACATTATTGCAGCAGAGGTTATTGCCATACCTTGCCATATGTGTGAACGTGCTGTAAGGAAACTCCCGAAAACAACTCCAACAGTGTGATGCAGCAAAAAACCCCATCTTCCTGATATTGTTTTCAAAACATAAGTATTTTAAGTGGTATGTTATGCTAATCATGAGGAAAATAAACTTTCTTCCTTATGTACTTCCATTACTCTTTTATTTTGCCTCAAAACTGTTCTATCAGTTCTGCCCCACCCTGTATAAGCTGGCTAACACATTTAAATTGTGTATTGTAATCAATATATAACAAATAGTCAAATAGTTAGACAACTTATAGCCTTATAAGAATTAGCTAGGCTGCTAGCTACATACAATGTAATGCACTCTTGATGCCTCTGTACCAAAAAACTTTCATTTATTGGAACCTAACACACACTAAAGGCAACAAGTTTATATCCAATTTGTCATTAATAGTACATTTATACTAAACCATAAATAACAATACCTCAATATAAATTAAAGATTGCCACTCAATATTTTTAAATATATGAAAACATCAAAAAATAAAAAAATCATGAATTTTTTTTTAAAAAATCAAGTGATTTAATCACATGATTTAATCATTTTGATTTAATCATTGCCAACCCTGTTATCAACAATTATTTACCCAAAAATCCGTAAGTGGTAAGCACCACCTTGGCCTGTTGGCCATTATTGAAGGCAATAATTGCCCTTTTCAGCCATCCATTATGATCCAAATACTGTTATTATTAGGCTAATTGCAACATAAAAAATAACACTTCAAAACGACAAAGAAGTTGAAAAAATCAAATAAATAAAAAAATCATGAAAAAATAAAAAGAATCATTGATTTTTGTTTTTTTTTTTAATTTTTTTTAAATAAAAAATCACCAACCCTGACCATTTGTGGGGTGAGATAGGACCACTTGTGTGGTAAAACAGGATCATTTAGTGGTCCTGTCTTACCCCATGTCCGGTCCTTTTTTACCCCATGTCCGGTCCTTCTTTACCCCATTTTAGAATACATGTCAGACAGTGATGGTAGCAGTTAGGAATGCCTAGTATGTCTCAAAAGTTGATTACTTGAGGTTACATGCCTACATCCACAAACCTGGCCAAAAATTTTTTTGTCATTAGACAGAGCTCATTTCCCAAATAGGGTTAACTATTTTGTGACCCTTCTTTACATAGGTTTTCTTCAAAAATTAGCCAGAAATTCATTATTTGCAGAAACATTGAAACAAACGCTGAAATGACAGGCAATGATTGCTATATTCCCTATATCAAATTGAATTCAGTGCCATTAGAATGCACACCATGGGCTGGTCCTTTCTTACCCCATGAAGGCTGTGATCCTGTCTTACCCCATTTGACTATAATATTTTCTGTGCAGGTACCATTGAATGTGCTAAATACTAATAACAAATTGGCTAGTAGGCATGGAAAATGTCAAGACTGAAGAAGACTCCGCACCATGCGACTCTGCACATACCATGTCATCTTCGTCTGAAGAAGACAGCGACCAGGGTGACGTCACCAAGCTCGTGCTCGACTTTGATCCTAAGACTAATAAAGAGCTTGTCTTCGTTAACTCTGAGCTTGTGCCCGTGCTCAAACCTCATCAGGTGAAGGGCATCAAGTTCATGTGGCAGGCGACGTGTGAGAGCATTGAGCGCTGCCAGAAGTCAGGCAGCGAGGCTATCTTGGCGCACTCTATGGGGCTCGGCAAGACCTTGCAGGTTATCGTATTCCTGCACACTCTTCTGACCTGCAAACATCTTCACAAGCATATGCGTAGAGTGCTAGTACTGTGTAGTAAGCACCGTGTACAATTGGGTCTCGGAGTTCAACAAATGGCTCAAAAATGACCTAATGCAATTTGAAGTTTTTGAATTAACCTCGGACAATGACATGCAGTATAGAGCTGCTCGTCTTGAAGACTGGCATAAAAAGTCTGGAGTTTGCATTATTGGATACAACCTTTTCACGAAGTTGGCCAATGAGGAGGGCGAAATGAAGGAAATATTTCAAAAAACCTTGGTCAACCCTGGACCAGATTTTGTTGTTTGCGACGAAGGCCATGTGCTAATGAATGAAGAAAGCTGCCTCTTTAAGGCAGTCGATAAAATTTCCACCATGAGACGCTTAGTACTTACAGGTACGCCACTGCAGAACAACCTAATGGAGTACTACAACGTAATAAAATTTGTAAGGCCAAACCTGCTGGGCTCCAAGGAGGAGTTCCACAACAAATTTGTAAAACCAATCGATGCCGGGAGCAATGCTCACGCAACTCCTTGTAATGTGAAGAGGATGAAGTGGAGACTATACGTGCTGCAGGACATGCTCGACAGCTGCATTCAGTGGCTGGACCACACATCGCTGAAGACTTTGTTGCCATTGCCATCCAAAATGGAGTATGTAATCCTCATAAAGATGAGCCCCCTGCAGGCCAAAATGTACGATTTTTACATTAAAAACCTGGCAATAGGCGGCTACAAGAAGAGCGCAACGGGTCGCCCTGGTCGATCTGCGTTTTTGCAAGATCTACATAACCTACGTCGTGTCTGGACGCATCCTATGATGCTGGCGACTAACACGTCTGAAAAGGATGAGGACCTGCAAGCCGAATGTGATGAAGATGAGGAGATTGACGAGCTGGACTACCCTGAGGAGGCAGTTTGCAAGCCTGCTAGTCCTAGTGATGGTGAGTTTTGGGAATATTTCTACCTATGCCTTTTGTTCTTGCTGCGCAGTTTAATTTTAGCTTGTTGCTATTTACGATTGAAATGTTGATCTGGCTTCATGAATATAGACGTGTAATTTTGCTCCATGGATAAAGTTTAAATTTGCCTCTTTTGGTACCGTTAAGTAGAAATATCCATGCACATAGCGTGGTTCTGTTTGCATGTTTTATAATATTTTGGAAAACTTTAAATGTGTTCCTCAACAGATAAACTTTAACAAGGAAAATTAATTAATCAAATTAAAACATGTCACAGATTCACCCGACGGTCTCACCCAGACGGACAAAATGCAGCTGGACTGGTGGAAGGAGATCGTGGCAGCGTCAGTTGACATTAAAGACAAAACGTGGAAGAACTGCCCCGAATACAGCGGCAAAATGGTAATACTGCTGAACATCATGCAAGATTGCTTTACCAACGGTGAACGTCTGATTGGTGGAGCTGTGGCATCAGAAATACCAATAGAAAGCTTCATTATCAGTCTACTGTCTAGAGCTGAAGCATAGTAAGATTTTTCGAACTCGATTTGAAACAAATCAATGTATGCGATAAAATGGCCCATTATCATAGACGACGAATAGATCGATAAAATTCAATAAATTTACTTTGACGCAGTCAATGGCAGGCCTGTAATATTACTTCCTAATTTCAACTAGTAAGCCCCGCCCATCCTCGATGCAAACTACTAAGAAACAACAACTTTATTGATGAACATGGAGTACCAGTATTTCAGCATTTAGCACCAGTCGAAGTCACATTAAAATATTTTAATTAATGCATTAATCTAATATCGCTTAAGAGTCCTAAAAAAGTGTTCCACGTCTCCATACGATAAAACCAAGAACTTTTTCAACAGCGTCTATAGTGTGCGAGTCACCATAGAGGCTCGCACCATGAAGTCGTTCACATTATCGAGTGCGGGTTTAGTTAGCAAATGAAAATTCTAACGTGGGTACACTTCTCCTAGTTATTTCCATTCCCTAGATTTTTAGGCTATCACAAACCAAAGAGTATATCTAATTTATTTGCAAATAGTCGTAGTTCAGCAATAAAAATCATTTATTGCTGTCGCTGTACATTCGATGTATATTGACAGGTTTTACTGAAGTTAGTTTTGACGTTACAATGCGAAAATAGAAGCGTACATCCACCCAACTAAAGCATCACGAATAAAAAATATGATTTTTTATGACCATTACATCTAAGTAATCGATCAACAGACCATATATTCGAGATGAACATGCGTTCAGTTCTCCAAGAATTTGACAGGAACTTGCTAGCAATGGGTAATGAGCGAATAGGACGAATGTGAACGAGGCGTTGTCCACAAACTTTACATATCTAAGTTAGGTAACCGTGACACGGTGACAGATCGCCCAGGGAGACTTCGCTGAGCCACGTGTAGCCGCAGTGGTGTCAAGCGTCGAGACTAAGGCCCCTTTCACACAGGGCAGTAAATACTGCCAGCGTCCGACAGTATTTACTGCCGAACCTTAGCGGACATACGAAATGTGCACTGCTGTTCACACACGACTGCTTTTACTGCGGCGTAGAATTTGACGCCTGACGCCAGCGTCTGTCCTGCTAAAACTGCGGCAGTAGATTTGTCGCGACAGTTTAGTTTGCTATGGTATTCAATGTAATCTTTCACACTGGGCGGTTTTTGACGCCAGATCCTAGTGTGGTACAGACAGTGGCACCGTATTTTAGGTGCATAATAAACAGCACTGCTAGACTGATAGATTATAGACTGATATTGTAACATAAATATCGGTACATAAATATTGTTACATAAACATAAAGATATACAATGTTAAATATATATTTCCTTAAAGTGATAGAGATATATTCTATAAAAGATATATTTTCCATAAAATATATAGGTATTTCCATAGAGATGTATTTACATCATTCTCACATAGAGATATATTTTCATAAAGAAATACTGTTACATACACATAGAGATGGACTGATGAAGCATAAAGCACTGCAAGACTGATAGATCCCAGCAGTAAAAAGCGCCTCGTGTGAAAGATTGCGCTGTAAATACTGCCGCGGCATTTTTGACGCGCGCAGTATCTACTGCCCTGTGTGAAAGGGGCTTTAGTCAACTGGGACAGTTACATAGTGTGCCTGGCTGCATTCGTACATTTATCGTTAACAGAATTCGTTTGAGTACATAGTGCAAAGAAGTAATTCATACGGAACCACTGTAAACTGTTTTCTTATCGCAGTATTAAAACTTAACACGATTTTAATTAAAAATTCATATGTAATTACGTAATCAAAAATTGTCTAAGATCACTCACAATTTTGTCTGCAAATTGCGTATACATTCACTGGCATTCATGTTACTCGTCACTAAAAACCTAAAAACTCCGGGAGAAACGGTACACCTAGATTAATTTCTCAATCAATAACTTCTATTTTATTTTACAATGCGAAAATACTTCGTAGATACCGAA